TCTGACATACCAAGTAAAGCGGCTGTGGTGCTAGTTTTGGTGGTGGCGGCAGGCGGGTGAGTGGTATCTTGAGAGGTGCCTGAAGCTAAGCTGGAGGAGGATGGTGCGTCAAGGTTCTCAGCGGAGGCTGTAGAAGATTGGGTGTCCTGTATGTTAGCCAGTCAACTATGTCCTCAGAACTTTTCAAGTTCAGAGTACGTGGCCTCTGAAAACTGGGCATTATTCTAGGGCCAAAGGGAATCACAGCACCACGACCATGATGGCCCCTGCGGGGTGGCCTGCCTCTGCCTGTCATTTTTTTTGGGATTAGTGGTACTATGCGTGCAAGCTACTGTGAGACCAGATATGAGTGGCAATGTGCACTGGCACAGTTGTGCAGAGCACAAGCTGTAGGCCTGACACAGCCGCTTGAAGGACACTGACTGGCTGCTATTAGCTTACACTGGAAACCTTTTTTTCTTTGTAAAAGCACGCTACAGAGACACCAGATATGAGTGGCAAAGTACACAGGCAGAGGTCTGCAGAGCACACGCTGAAGGAGGCCTGACACCCGCTTTAAGGACACTGACTGCTATTCAATCTATAACAGTGAAAAAAGATTATTTTTTTTTTAAATACAAACTATTGTGACACCAGATCTAATTAGTGGCACTGGTCAGCGTATCCACTGTTAGCGTAACACACCCGCTTTAAGGACACTGACTGCTATTCAATCTATAACAGTGAAAAAAGATTATTTTTTTTTTAAATCCAAACTATTGTGACACCAGATCTAATTAGTGGCACTTGTCAGCGTATCCACTGTTAGCGTAACACACCCGCTTTAAGGACACTGGCTGCTATTCAATCTATAACAGTAAAAAAAGTTTTTTGTTTTTAAATCCAAGCTATTGTGACACCAGATCTAATTAGTGGCACTTGTCAGCGTATCCACTGTTAGCGTAACACACCCACTTTAAGGACCCTGACTGCTATTCAATCTATAACAGTAAAAAAAGTTTTTTGTTTTTAAATCCAAGCTATTGTGACACCAGATCTAATTAGTGGCACTTGTCAGCGTATCCACTGTTAGCGTAACACACCGCTTTAAGGACACTGACTGCTATTCAATCTATAACAGTGAAAAAAGATTATTTTTTTTTTAAATCCAAACTATTGTGACACCAGATCTAATTAGTGGCACTGGTCAGCGTATCCACTGTTAGCGTAACACACCCGCTTTAAGGACACTGACTGCTATTCAATCTATAACAGTGAGAAAAGTTTTTTGTTTTTAAATGCAAGCTATTGTGACACCAGTGAGTGGTGGCACTGGGCACCGTATCCACTGTGAGCTTAACACACCCGCTTTAAGGACACTGACTGCTATTCAATCTATAACAGTGAAAAAAGTTTTTTGCTTTTAAATGCAAGCTATTGTGACACCAGATATGAGTGGTGGCACAGACTGGGCAAATGGGCACAGTATCCACTGTGAGCCTGACACAGAAGCTGGCAGCAGTGGCAGACAACTAACTGCAATTACATTACACAGAAAAAAAAAAAAAAAGCATACCCTAACCCTAACCTAGCTATGCATTTCCCTATCTAATCAACAGCAGCTACACTTTCCCTCCTCTTACTAAGCATGCAGCTTGAGAATGAATGTAAAATGTATGCCTTCCAGTAGGTGGGAGGGTCTGCTAGGGTGGGTGTGCTGCTAATTGGCTGGAATGTGTCTGCTGACTGTGAGGTACAGGGTTAAAGTTTACTCAATGATGAATAGGGGGCGGATCGAACCGTGCATGCGTTCGCCGTCCGCGGCGGATGCGAACACACTATGTTCGCCGGGAACTGTTCACCGGCAAACCGTTCGGTGAATCACTATATGGAGCTAAAGAGTTGGTTCACCGGCTATTCATGGAAATGTGTCTGAAATTAGCCCCATGAATTCAGCTACCTGAGGTCGGTCTTATTTGTATAATAAATGTCCCAAACGGCACGGTGTTCGTGCAACTGGATATGGATGCAATGGATGTTGGTGAGCCCCAGCGATATTCGTCTGAAATTAAGGCCGGCAATAGTTCCACACTGTCGACGATAAAATACCGCTGGGCATTCGACAATTTAAAATGGCCGCCGCCACGTATTCAACAAACGAATGGTGACCACCCAACCGTTCATCAAATAACTGTGGTTAACAGCAACGGCTGGGTGGTTAATGAGCGGCACACGTCCATGGTTGGTGGTGTGGCAGTTTTTTTAATAAATGCACGGAAGGGGCCAAATACACAAATAACAGATGAACCCGAAAGACTACAGAGATCTAGCAAAACAGGGGTTTTGTCACAACAGTCAAATAGGCTGCGGTTAACAACAAAACCGCAGCTCCTGGGTGGTTGATTGTAGGCACACTCTTCAGGTAGGGTGGTTATCCATTCGTCAGTTTGTTTGGTGTTTTGAAAGGTGAACTGGGTTAATTGGCGCCAAATGCCACATACGAATGGCCTGTAATACTTGTTCGGGTAAAAGTAACCTAAAATGATAGCAAAATTAACCAGGTTGTAGCAGACAGAGGTGACTTCTGTAACACAGGCTTTCTCTTCCCCCAGCCAGCTGACATTACAGGGGCCCGGTCTCTGTATTAGAGGACCGGGGCAACCGGCCGGGCCCTGGTTCAGCAGTAATGTTTCCCCAGTGCTATAATCATAGCACCGGGGAAACATTCCACGGTACACCTGTGTGCACCGTTTGAGAATCACTGACTTCTCCAATACAAATGAAAACAGCTTTCTCTGAGGATATTCCAGACAGTATACTACACATCAAATATTGCCAAACAGAATACAGAGGATACAGCTGATAATCTACAGAAAGGTATAACAATATAACAGTGTAATACAGTTAAAATAGGTTTCTGTGCACTAAATTCAATTGCATTTGCTAGATGGAGACTTAAAAATCACCATAGGGTGCCTCCCCTTGGATGATTGGGGGGTTGGTCCAGGGTTCTCTCTCAGCTTTTGGATGATGACGACACAGTATGGAAAGCCAGACTTGGGATACATCAGAAAATATAAACTGCTTTATTATGTGTATAAAAAAATAAAATAAAATACAAGAAAAATGGTCCTGCACATTTCGTCTCACAAGAGACTTCTTCAGGGTCACTAATAATAAAAACAATCCTAAAGCAGGAAAAAAGCAGCATATACCGTTCCTCCCCAGAGTCCTTCATTCTATATGGCCATCTTTTCCATCTCATTGGAGGTCCTGTGGGTGTTTCCAATGAAATTCAGCTGTTTTGGCTTGTCCATAATCAATTTTCCAGGGTATTCTTTGTTCGTGTGACGTCATTTCCGGTAGCCTCGCCTGTATGATGCGTGTGTTCCAATCGGCGGCCATCATGCGTTCCACTCTTGAATTGTAAGAGGTCGCCAGGGTTACAACATACACAAGGTTCTATCTTTAATGGAGAGTAAAGAAGCCTACAAGGCTCAAAAGTGACAAGTATCAGAAATAAACAGAATCATGTAACTGAATCAGTAAAGTCCCATTAGATTAAATAAATAGAGTTTATACCTGGAAGTATTTCTCTGGTAATTGGATAATTTAAGTTGATTTATTAGGTGACGTATTCTTTAAAAACAAGTTATTTTTATTCCGGGTGTTTGTCTGGAACATAATTAGAGTTGAGCGGACACCTGGATGTTTGTGTTCACCGAGTTCATCCGAACTTCGGCTTGAACTTCACCCCGAACCCGAACCCCATTGAAGTCAATGGGGACCCGAACTTTTGGGCACTAAAAGTTCTCTAAAAACGTCCTGGAAAGGGCTTGAGGGCTGCAAGATAAAGTAAAATGGGGGTAAGAGTAGGGCAAGTGCCCTGCAAACAATTGTGGCTAGGGAAATCACTTAAAATAACACAACATACATAAAAATTAAAAATACAGCTGAGACATAAAATAGCACTATATGGAATCTTTGATTTTAGCTTTGGAAGAACATAAATCAAAATCTAAAGCATGGCTGTCAGGAGGATCACCAGAATTATCCATTGGAGAGAGGGTTGGAGTGCTGGGTATTCATTATTCAAACTGAGCTCAACTCCTGATGCATGGAAAAAAGGCCTTCACAAGCCTCTGCTATTGTGTACATAGTTTATACTAAGTGACCCATAGGTTGAGGAGGCGGTGACCGTGGCCGTGTAGGTGGAAGTGGCGGTGGAGGAGGTGGAGGTAGCCAACACTGTTTTTTATTTTTTATTTTTTAATTGGGGTAGCCCCCAAAATATTGGGACATATAACAAAAGAAAACAAAGAATGAGTGCACTTGAGTATTACAATGGCTGTGTGAGGTCGGTATAAATGTCTATTCTGCACAAGGTACAGACAAGTCTGGTGGTATCCATGCCTGGTTCATTTTAAAAAACGTGAGCTTGTCCATGTTGGCTGTGGACAGGTGGCTGTGCTTGTCTGTGATAACGTCCCCTGCCGTGCTAAACACAAGTTCAGACAATACACTGGCTGCAGGGCAGGCCAGCACCTCAAAGGCATAAAGAGCAAGCTCAGGCCATGTGCCCAATTTGGAGACTCAGAAGTTGAATGGGGCAGACCCATCAGTCAGTACGTGTAGGCGTGTGCACACATACTGTTCCACCATGTTGCTGAAATGCTGCCTCCTGCTAAGATGTTCCATATCAGATGGTGGTGCTGGTTGTTGTGGCTGACAAAGCTTTTCCACATTTCGGCCATGCTAACCCTGCCTTGTGAGGTGCTGGCGGTGCCCCAGCTGCATTGGCAACCTCTTCCTCCTCCTTTGCTTTCGCCTTGTGCTTCCCCTGAGCCCCCGGTGTCAGTTGGGAATGCCCTCAGCAGCGCGTCTACCAGCGTGCGCTTGTAGTTGCACATCTTCTGATCATGCTCAAGTGAGGGAATTAAGGACGGTACGTTATCCTTGTAACGGGGATCCGGCAGGGTGGCCACCCAGTAATCAGCACAAGTTAGAATGTGGGCAACTCGGCAGTCATTGCGCAGGCACTTTGGTGAATTTAGATAACCTTGGGCCGATTGCACATTCCCATGACGGCGACGACGTATTCGGATGTCTACCTATCAACTTTCCATGGTACTTTCTACGCCTACCATGGTGACCACAGGTAACAGGGAATCAGGGTTCGATTCCGGAGAGGGAGCCTGAGAAACGGCTACCACATCCAAGGAAGGCAGCAGGTGTGCAAATTACCAACTCCCAATGCAGGGAGGTAGTGACGACAAATAACAATACAGGACTCTTTAGAGGCCCTGTAATTGGAATAAGTCCACTTTAAATCCTTTAACGAGGATCTTTTGGATGGCAAGTCTGGTACAGAGCGACTGACCCGTGCGTGCTGCAGCTGAAACTCCACTATCGCCTGCTGCTGCTCGCACAGTCTCTCCAGCATGTGCAAGG